AGAGAGCCCTCTGGTCCCTGCCTCCAGACCCCCACCGCCCCCCCGGTTCATCGATGGAGGGCCAGTTTATTCTTGGCGGCTCGCCGGCGGGGTCGTGGACGCCAGTATCTGGTGGATTGGGAGGGCTATGGTCCTGAGGAGAGGGAATGGGTATCTTCAAAGGACATTGTCGACCCAGACCTCATCCGGGATTTCCACAGGCATCATCCAGATGAGCCTGGACCGTCCGGTGCCGGTCGTTGAGGGGGGGGGTACTGTCACATCCTGGCCCTGGCTGATCGCCTCACTCCCTCACCTGTGTATTTTTGCTCCCTGTTAATCACCTGCCTGGCCTCAATGAGCCTCAGCTGTCCCTAATGATCACTCCTCACCTGTGTATTTAGTCTGTGCTGTTTCCTTGGTCAGTGCCAGTTCGTCTTTTCTGTATAGCAGAAAGTGCTCCATGTTACTCTCCTGACGTAAGCTATTGTTCTAGCTGCTTAGCATTTGTACCAACCTAGTTGGTTGTTTTTTTGTTGCTTCTTTAGTAGTTTTCCGCCAACTTAGTTGGTTGTTTTTCGTTACTTCCAGTCAGTACATTTTTTGATCATTGCCTGTTTTATTTTTACCTTTTGGATTAAACGCTTGACTAATGACCTTTTTGCCTGGTTGTGCTCTTAAGTCCTATTTTTTTTGCTTGTACTTGATAGTTTGGGGTGAAACTAATGTGAAAAGTTGCATTTCCTTCCTTTCCTTCTTCCCTTCTTCTCAGTAACACACCTCCAACATGTCCCTCCTCACACACCTGTTGGCGTGTTTGTTCGGGATGGGCTCCTGGGTCTCTATCAACGGCCTGTGGGTGGAGCTGCCCCTGATCGTGCCCCAGATCCCGGAGGGTTGGTACCTGCCCTCGTACCTCTCCGTCCTCATCCAGATGGCCAACATCGGGCCTCTCTTCGTCACCCTGATGCACCGCTTCCGGCCCGGCGCCCTGAACGAAGCAGCCGTCATATATCTGATCATCGGGGTGGGCACCGTGGCGACCTTCCTGATGGGATTCTTCTGGAAGGAGACCGTCGTTGTGGGGGGGGTTTCTCGCAGTGTAGCCCTCCTGGTCCTGACCTTCTTCCTGGCGACTGTAGACTGTACTTCCTCCGTCACCTTCCTGCCCTTCATGATGCACCTGAAGACTCAGTACCTGACCACGTACTACATCGGGGAGGGGGTGAGCGGCCTGCTGCCTGCTCTGGTGGCTCTGATCCAGGGGGTGGGAGTGGTCCACTGCATAAACAGCACTCAGTCTCTGAACCACACCATGAACTCCTCCAGCTCTGTGACCCTTGACCTCCGGGCCGAGTACCAGCCAGCTAACTTCTCAGCGGAGGTGTTTTTCTTCTTCCTCAGTGCCATGATGCTGGTGTGCCTGCTGGCGTTCCTGATGCTAAACTACCACCCATCTGTGGCCAGGGAGCACCCCGATGGTCGAGTGAAGGAGAAATCTCAGAGGAACAGGAAGTGGGCGGAGGAGAAGCGCATGATGGATCCATTGAGACCCGAAAACACGAAGCGTAGGAGCGGCTTCGGGGCAGGGTCCTACAGCTGGGCGCAGGTGGTTTATATCTTTGTGGTCCTGGCCTGGGTCAACGCTCTGACCAACGTGGTGCTCCCCTCGGTGCAGTCCTACTCCTGCCTGCCGTACGGAAACAACGCCTATCACCTGTCTGCCACCATGGCTGCTGTGGCAAACCCTCTCGCCTGCTTGATCGCAATGTTCTTCCCTATAAGGTCAGTATGCTCTTTCATACTTAAAAAAATAAATAAACCAAATAAATTCATTGCATTGCTCAAAATCACAAAATTATCTTTTGTTTTCAATCTGGACAGCTTTTACACTGTATTTCAAAGAAAGTACTAAAAATAGCAAAAATACTTTATGTTTATAGTATATATGTTTTTTAAATGTGGACATATTGTGTTCAACTTTAATATGATTTAAAAGAAAATGTATGTGATTATATGTATAAGATATATTTAATAAGGTTTCAGTGCAAAATGCATATAATGGATTATATTTTATTTTAAAAATGTGTTCCGTACCAAGGAAACAGATTGTTATTGAAAAAAGACTGAAATATTGTCATAGCGTTGGTCAGATCTCTGGTATTAAGAAAAATCATGTAAAATAAATGATAGCAGACTTTGTGTACACAACCCGATAGAATAATTCAATTGTTTGGATGAGAAGGTGAAAAAAGGAATAATATGTAATTCTCTGACAACCTTAATTTTAACTATTTGTATTGATGATTAACCTGCCTTTATATATATTTGTTTTGTTAATCAATGAATAGTTTTGCACAGGTTCCGTGAGCCCAATGTACAGCCAATAGTCTAAAACCCAAAAGACAGTATATCTGAAAAGCAGGAAATTGCAAATATTTCTTACTAAATCACTAATGTGAGGGACTGTGGATGGAAACTAGCTCAAAGCTAAATCTGGCACTATTACGCTTGATACATTTGAATGTTGTAAGTGTTCATTACTGTGCATTGTCCCTGCCAAATAAACGATTAAATAAATAAATAAATAAAACGATTGATAAATTATCAAAATACTTTCCACTGGATACTAATAATGTTCAGCTCTACACGTCAAACCCTATCTTCATTTTTTTTAGAGACAGTAATTGTAATTATTTCAACTTTAAAAAAAAACCATTTTAAGACAATGAGCTTGTCCTTTTTAATTTAGATCTGTGACATTTCATAACATTTCCAATGTGTGGTTTCAGATCCCTGCTGTTGATGGGAGCGCTCACAGTGACAGGAAGTGGAGTTGGAGTGTATATAATGGCTATGGCAGTGCTGAGCCCATGCCCACTGTTGGTTAATGAAACCTCAGGGGGGGTCATCATGGTGAGTCACGCTTTCTAACTAAGAAACCACATGGGCATACAAAGACTATTTTGTTAGGTTTCTAACTCACCTCTGTTTTCCCTCCACAGGTGTTGGCCTGGATCCTGTTTATCCTCACTCTGTCCTATGTGAAGGTGATCATCGGTTTGATCCTGCGCGACGAGGGCCACAGCGCCCTGGTGTGGTGTGGAGCGGGGGTGCAACTGGGCTCTCTACTGGGGGCTGTCACCATGATTCCAGTGGTCAACGTGTACAACTTCTTCTCATCAGGGGACCCATGCAACACAAAATGCCCCTGAATGAAGAAGTGATGAGAAGAGACTGGAGGCGGATTCGGTAAAGACACATGCTTATTGGATCCAAGATATTCAATAGAGGCAATCTCTAAACGCTTTTTTCCCCTTTTTATTAACATGATCGACCTACTTTGAAACATCTGAATTTCCCATTTAAGTACTGTGGCCGATGCATGCAAAGCAAGCCTAAATTAGTTATGCCTTGATTATGCTGCCGTAGACAAGAGGAAACGTTTTCAGATGTACTGAAGATGCTCACTTTCAAACCCTAATAATATGCATTCAACTTAATGCAAATAAAGTGTAAAAATGTACTCATACAACTTAAATAACTAAACGTACTAACTTACTTTATTACCCAATCTGAAAAAACATCGGACAGGAAGTGGAAGACAATGTTTTGTATTTTGTAAAGTAACTAAAACTATTAGACAAATGTAATGGAGAAAAAAGTACAATTTCTGCCTCTGAAATCTAGTGGAGTAAAATACATAGAAAACAATAAAATAGGAATACTTGTAGTAGTTCTACAATTGATCACATTGAATTAAGAAATAAGCATGGGGAAATTCTCAATTTTAGTTTTTAAGAACTTTTAATAAAAAGCATAATTGCTATTCCAAGCTTTACATTATACTCATTTGTATGTAGCCTACTGGTCTTATTTTTCGAGCATATGGACTGACAGTTTATTTGGTCTAAAGTGTCATTTCCGTTTTCTGGTCAACCGGGTAGTGTGATAAAATTTAACAATATCTGTTACAAAACATCTGGTACAATAATAACAACAAAAAAGACATATATTGAAACAAATGATAATAATCAAGCAGGCCCATTCTACATGTGCTTTAATCATATTTATTGAGACGACATAACAGTATAAATATATCATTTCAATATTACTAAATGGATCATATTTCGGTGGATTACATGAAAAACACACATTGTTAAATAGTCAGGTGGCAGCCCGTGTCTACCCTTAGTGTTTTCTTGTGGTCAAAACATGAGAAACAGCCACACACAGATTGACGGTATACAAAGGTATGAAGGCAGACATAATGATCATCATATTTAGTATATTCAAATCAAGAAGAGTCTAAGTGTCTCCCCCAAACACTATCGCCCTGCCTAAAACCATGAATATATATAACAAAAACCTGTATACAGCGACTTAGGCAGGGCCTCGTTCATTCCTATCAGAGTTGCTCTGTGGCGCGTGAAGCTCAAAATGGTGCGACTGTAGATTTTAAAAAGGATATACAATGTGCACATCATTTTTCTGAAGTACAGCCTCTGATCTCCCTCTCTCGTCTCATCATTTAACAAACCTTTAGACCCTAATCATTTAAAATAAGGGCTGTGAAAGTGTTCTGGGAAGTTCATTTAGCTATGAAATGAATATATTGATTAAAAGTGGTCTCTTCACTGTGAAAGTCTTTTTGGGCCCAAATTGCGTTACAGAAGAGTGCCATATTTGCTTTGGCGCTCTTCCTGGGGGGTCGCCTGAAACGCCTCCATTGGACTCCTTTGTTTACTTACGTAGCATAATGACATAACTATTAATCACTTGCGCTTCTATTGGCTAGCGCTCCAAGACATTGTACGTGATTGGTTAGCTGGCTAGCCTATCAGAGCAGACTGAGCTCTGGTTTCAGACAGAGATTGAAAAAAGATGCTGCAGTATGAGAAAATAAAAAGACCTGTGTGAACTAAATACAAAATATGAAACTGAAAATGAGCTTAATGTCCTCTTTAAAAGTCTGTTAGATAATGTCTTCAATAAAAAGTTTAATTTTTTTTAAGAACACAGATGAGTTGCATGCAGGTATATCAGCCTGTTTGAGGTCAAGATGAAATAAAAATCAAGTGGCTTTCTGTTCACACTTAAAGAAGGGAAACAGCTTCCTTTGAGTGTGGAGATGAAACACTGGATGCACAACACTTGCAGCAGACAGCAACACTAAACATATAGGCATAACTATACAATGATGCTTTTCTTCATTAACCGTCTTATACCATTGCGTTGAAGTAACTACAATGTAAAAGAACAGGGCGATGGAGGAAGTGGCACAGATCGTTTTAAAGGCTCTCTTCTTGGCCGGATGCAGCTGGTCTCTCCCCGGACCGGACCTCCTCAGCACATTCACAGTGTGGAAGCTGCACCACACTATTATTGGAATCATCACCATCATCACGACGTAAGGAATCATTTCTATAACTTCGTCTTGGGAATGGAAGACATTATTTAAAGAGAAAACTCTGGCCAGAGCAGTGGGCACAGAAAAGCACCACACTGTGGCAGAACAAATCTCCCTGTATCTGTACTTCTTGAGCAGAGGATAGGATGTGGGGTGAATGACAGCAACATACCTCTCCAGGCAAATAAAAGTCAAACTCATTGGCCCTCCGATTAGTACATACACAAACAAAAAATAGAGGACGTGTTGATGCTGTTTTGGCAGAAAATTAAGGACACATAAATGCAAGATGGAAATCAGGTACTGCATGTTGTGGAAGAGAGCTAAATTACAGTTTAGGATGGAGGAAGTCTTCCTGGATGTGACGGTGACCCACAGAAGTTTGACGATCACTGGCTGTCCAATGAGAAGACACACGATGTCAATCAGACCGAGAAGCACGAGATGAAATTCTCCGAGCTCACAAGGGAAGTCATCTTTGGTGGAGTTGCCTGTGACCAGAGGTATACAAGGACAACATTATCTGTATCTGTTCAACCAACAAAATGATTTATGTACCAAATATGTATTCATATAGAACACTGGACATGGTTTACAAAGGAAATAGAGTTAAATCGGATCAATTATAAAAAAAGATTTAACCTAATAAATATGAATGCAATACCATTTTTCGGCCTGTAAAGCTTGACATTGATTTGATTTGTGGCCATATTATCTTCATCCTAGACTTTTAAACTATCCAAATCCCACCATCCCTTTTGCACTGAACCTTTAGAAACTGAATAATCTAATGGGGCGAAGCCTGCGAGCTAGTTCAGGCAGTCAACTCGAGCACTTATGCTGCATTCATACATAACGCCCCTTGCCACTCTACAACCAACCAAACAGAGTCTCCTTAATATGCCGCTCTATTTAACCTGCCAGATCTCTCTATGCATTGCTTGCTGCTGCTATTGCTGCAGCTACTTCCACGTCGCTGCTGCTTGCCTGCCCCACCACCACCCCAGCTTCCACCCCAGCTTCCACCTGTAGGCTCTGGGGGTTAGTTATTTAATCATCACTCATCATGCTATGTATATCTGTGGAGTGATGAGGCCCGAGCCTAGACGCCAAACTCAACTATATGCTGCTTCTAATAAACATGTTAAAGAAACACGTGACTTGTCTGACTGAATTAAACTTGAGGCTGATACACATTGACTATGCATAACATCAACTGATTTACATTGCAGTATTGTTTCCTTCAATATTTTAGCAACGTTAAGCTCAAACGTACAGGTTCTAAGGTGCATTTTGCTGCAGTGGTTTGAAATAAACCCAGTTGGGAATGGCAGCAGCCTGTGACTAAATAATTAAGTGATACATTTTCAAAAATGTGAAGTAAAAAAACAACCATAGTGATATAAATTGAAATCTGTGATTCTCCAAATAACGTATTTGGATGGAAATGATTACCTGAGATATTGCTGAAGGGCCCCCCCATGTCACCAGAGATATTCCCAGAGCTAAAGAAAAACATTAGAAAGAAGCTGCTGATGGATGTTAAAAACTGAAAATGGCTGTGTGTTTATTTTTTAACATAAAATAATAAAAGGAACAAAATAGGGAGAACAACATTCTTAATGCCTCTAAATACAACGTTTTCACAGGAGTAAAATGTATTTACTATCATGAACAAGACCAAATACATTTTTACTTTATCCTTCATTTCAGTAAAAAAAGCGTAAGAATAACATCAATGTACTAACACATTTCTTTGTTTTTAAAAGGAAGATTTTACAAGAGACTTGATAAAATACACTTTTGTATATTAAAATACTTTACAGGATTTTTTTCCAATAATAAAAGCGTTTGGTCTCTGTAACGAAATAATAGCGTATATAGCAAACATTGAAATTAAGATTAGATATTAACCATCTTCAGTTACTTTTAGCTGTCAATAAATCATAAAATTAGAAAGAAGTTTACATTTAAGACTTATGAAGACAGAGCTTACCAGGTGTGTTCAGCAGCTTCTCTCCAGTTACCAATGAATGACCTGCGAAATAGTTGACTGACAGTAAAAATCACAGCTGATTTTCCTAATGGAGTTATGACAGGTGCGGGGCAGACAGGCAAAACCAACAAACTGTGATCCCGTCACGCCATGATTTCCATAACAGCACGCGTCTCTGTCTCGGCTGTGACATAATACAGTGTAGAGAAATAAATCAAAAAACCTGTGTTTGTCAGCTCTGAACCATTCAATGTGTAACAATCCAGCAGGACCCCTGCAGACCACAGGGTGTCAGTGTGCCCTGCAACACAACCTCCACCAGTGAGGAGAACAACCAGGATCACATCATAAAAAGGTTTGTGAGATAGTTATGTAAAGCAGGTTCTTTATTTGTAGCACTTTTACAGAGTCTTCTCAGTGATCTTTCTCATGTGTGTTTGAATAACATTGACTGTGCAACAGCAGGATTCAGAATTCTCAAGGAGGGACTTAAACATCCAGCACACTTTTATACAAAATTGTATTCAATGTTTAGAGTTTCAATAACTTAGTGTGAATAACTACTATACCTTGTCGACTTAAACTTTGAAAGCACCCTATAGTGTAAGATGTATCAGGTATTTGTTCATTCAGCGTTTGATGTGCTTTTTTGAATGATAAGAACATTAGAAAGCTGACTCTTACCTTGCTTTGTATGCTATATGCAACATGCAAAACCACTGGTATAGGCCTTTGACATAAACTCCTGCCGTGCAGCTAGGACTCTGCCCGCAGAAGGTATTTCCACAAGAACAAATGGATATTTGTTTGTTATTATCATTGTCTGTTTCTGTATTTGGGTAAAAATGAAATGGATTAAAATTCTGAAATCGGTGGTTGATACATAGGCCTACATCATGTTAGATCATGATGCAGGTTCCACTGGGGGGGGGGGGCATGGATGTATAATAAGAGTGGGGCTGGCATTGGCTGATGAGATCCACTTGGGCCCAGTGATGCTTGAGTAGGCCTTTGAGATTCTCCCCCCTCTCTCATTTCTCTCACACACTCCCCATGTGAGCCTCCCGGCGCCTCTGTGTTTGCTTATTTGTGCTTTTTTAAATAAACGATTGTTATATATTCATACCCCAATCTTGACTACCAGGCATTGAAAGAAAAAAGTTGATGATGTCCTTCTGCTTAAATAGCCATGTGCTTATGTTTGTTGCAGAGAGAGTTTGTAGGAAAAATGTACTTACACCTTTTTATTAGATTGGGGTCCATTAATGGGCCATTGAAATAATGGACCTTTGTTTTCAGGACGATGGGCAGTTGGATAAATGGGCTTTCGTTCCAATGGGTCAGTTCTTTTGTCTGGGGTCAAATAATGGGCCATAGGGATACTGGTTTTTGTGTACATTCTAAAAGGCAGTTGCACATTGCATCTTCGGGACACTTTTTTGGTTTGTGGTCAAGTAATGGCCCATCGAAATTATTTACATTTGCATTTGGATAATGGGAATGCACCATCAGAATAATGGCTGTTTTTTTTCAGGATAACGGGCAGACGGACAAATATGGTTATGAACCAACGGGGCTTTAAAAAAAAAAATTGGGTCTAATAATGGGCCATTGTCACATGGGTTTTATGTTTTTACTATATTGGTCAGTTGCACAAATGGAGCATCAGACCAATGGGACCATTTTTGGATAGCGATATATTAATAGGCCATCAGAAAAATGTAAGTTTGTTTTCAGGGAAATGGGCAGTTCCAGTTGGATTGTTTTTTAGATTGGGGTCAAATAATGTGCCATTGGAATATGGGTTTTTATTTTCAGTATTATTGGAAGTGGAACAAATGACATTTTTGGTCGAATGGGACATTT